GGGGAGGAAGACTAGGTGGTGCTCAGAAGATATGTATAACTGTGAAACCACTCCATGTGCTTGTTATGGGGTGGTGGAAACATTCCATCACAAATACTGCCAAGCACATAGAATGTACAATGTCTAGAATGAACCAAAATGTAAACTATGAACTTTAGTTTACAATCATGTCAATATAGGCTCATGAATTCTAGCAAATGTACCACTCTGTGCCTACCTGGAAACAGAAAGTCTACAGGAAATCATTTATACTTTCTGCTCAGTTTTGTTGTGAACCTAAAATTTCTCTAAAAACTAGTCTATAAATAAATTAAAATGTCAAATTTATTCTGAGAATGAGTAATTTGAATAAGTCAGCAATATGAAGTTCTAGGTGAATTGCATTCTAGACAGAGAGAATAAGTGTGCAGATTTAATAGTGTAAGGTTATGTATGGTTAAATATAAAAAAGAAATCAGTGGGATAAAAACATGAAAGACAAAAGGAATAATGAGGCCACATGAGAGTGGAGAAACAGTCCCCTGCAAGACTATTAATGGCTCTCTAAGCCAGATCAAAAGAAAAATACATTCTAAATGTGACAATATATTAGAAGACTTTAGCTGATCAAAGAATATGGTAGTTTGTATGTGGAGACTAGTGGGGTGGTGGTGAGAGATAAGGTAGGTGGCTTCACCTACATGTAGAGGGCTTAGGGTTTCCACATGAAATATAATGGCTGATTGAGGTACTTGTGATCAAGCAGTAGAAGTGTAGTAAAAAAGACAAATTCACACATTTTGGAGACAGGGCATACTAAAGGTCAGGGTGAAGAAAAAGGACAGGAATAACTCACCAATTTTGGACTAAGCCACAGATTGTATATCAGCCTTGTTTACTTAATTGGCAGAGACCTGGAAAGAAACAGGCTTTGGTGGAGTAGTATCAATAATTTCCCTTATTTCTTATGCTTTAGGAAACCCAAATGCATATTACTAAGTAAAACTAAATAAGATGCATTACTAAGTTAGGGCCTAATCTGACATGATAAAGATTTGGGCCTACTTTTTCCTTTGTTAGACATAGGGTCTCTGGTCTAATTCCTAGGGCCTTAATACACTTGGAGTTGAGTGCTGTGCATGGTGAGAGATAGGGGTTTAGTTTCATTTTGCTGCATATGAATTTTCAGTTTTCCCAGCACCATTTGATGAAGAAGCTATTTTTTTTTCTCCGATATATGTTTTTGGCTCACTCCTTTGTCAGGTATGAGACTAACTGTATTTATGTAGGTTTGTCTCTGTGTCTTCTATTCTGTACCATTGATCTACATGTCTATTTTGGTGCCAATACCATGGCATTTTGTTACTCTAGCTTTGCAGTATAGATTAAGTTCTGGTATTATGATGCCTCCTACTTCATTCTTCTTGCTAAGAATTGCTTTGGCTAATCTGGGTGTCTTATTTTTCCAGATGAATTTCATTTGGAAATTCATGATTGCTTTTTATATTTCTATAAGGAATCATGTTGAGATTTTAATTGGAATCACATTGAATCTATATAGCACTTAGGGTAGTATGGCCATTTTGACAATATTAATTTTGTCCATCCAAGAGCATTGGAGAGCTTTCTATCTTCTAAGGTCTTCTTCAATTTCTTTCTTCAGTGTTTTATAATTTTCATTGTAGAGGTGTTTCACCTCTTTGGTTGCATTGATTCTCAAGTATTTTTTTATTTTAAGGGTATTGTGAATGGGGTACTTTTCCTAATTTCTCATTCAGTGGATTTATCACTGATGTATAGAAATGCATTTGATTTATGAGATGGATTCAAACTAAAAAGCTTCTTCTCAGTAAATGAAACAATCAGGTGAAAAGAAAGTCTACATTTTGGGAACAAATTTTTGCCACATGCATGTCAGATAGAGCACGAATCTCCAGGATATATAAAGAACTCAAAATATTTAACACCCCCCCAAAAAATAACCTAGTCAATGAATGAGCTAAGGAGCTAAACAGTCATTTCTTAGAAAAGATATAAATTGATCAACAAATATATGAAAAAAAATGTTCAACATCTCTAGTAATTAGAAAAATGCAAATCAAAACTAAGATTTCATCTCACACCAGTCAGAATGGTAGTTATCAAGAATATATACAACAATAAGTGTTGGCGAGGATGTGGGGGAAAAGGCACACTCATCTATTGCTAGTAGGACTGAAAATCGATGCAACCACTATGAAAAGCAGTATGGAGAGTCTTTAGAAAACTTGGAATGGAACCACCATTTGATCCAGCTATCCCACTCCTTGGTTTATACCCAAAGGACTTAAAATCAGCATACTATTATTGATGCAGCCACATCAATGTTTATAGCAGCTCAATTCTCAATAGCTAAACTGTGGAAGAAACCTAGATGCCCATCAACAGATGAATGGATAAAGAAACTGTGGTATTTATACACAATGAAACATTACTCAGCATTGAAAGATATTAAAATTATGGCATTTGCAGGTAAATGGATGGCACTGGAAAAGATCATGCTAAGTGAAGTAAGCAAATCCCCAAAAACCAAAGGCTGAGTGTTCTCTCTGATTAGTAGATGCTGATCCATAATGGGGAGTGGGGGAACATGCAAAAAATGGTGGAGTTTTGATTGGGCAAAAGGGAAGGAAATGAAGGGAGGGCATATGGGGGCAGGAAAGATGGTGGAATGAAATGGACACACATGACTGCACATATGGTGCAATGCTACATCGTGTTCAATCAGATAAATGAAAAGTTGTGCTGCAATTGTGTACAATGAATCAAAATGCATTCTGCTGTCATACATAATACCTACCTAACTAAATACATACCTAATTAAAATGAATTAATTTTAAAAAATCAAAAGGTTAAAAAAAAATAAATGACACAACAAGCCTAAAAAAAAAGTTCCCTTCAGAATATATTAATTTTGAGATGCCTGAAGACAATCCAAGAGATGTCCTTAATTAAATATTTGAATATATATATGAGTTTTACCTGAATGGAGAAATCAGTACTGGGTTCAAATATAGGATTCAATATCATAAGAATCATACAAAATCATATCAAATATGAGGATGAATGAAATAATGGAGAAAAATAATATAGGAGGAACAGAAGAGGTGACAGAATAAACTCCCCTACTTGATTTGACTCCATGGAATTTCTTTGTGCCTTTGGTGCACTGCCGTGGGCCAATGGCAAAGGCAAAAGCTCAACTGTTCTGTCACAATACATGAAATTTAAATCTAAAAACTTCATTTTGACTCTCATGGGAGAAAATTATTTTAAGAGACTTTTTTAAGAGGTAAAAGGAGATTCAAACTGAAGCATCAAATCCTCAGAGAGAACAATTCCAGAAAAGTTTAATAGTTTGAACATAGAATGTGATAGAGGTAGAACAAGGAAGTTCCTTCTTTCTGTTACAGACATTCCAGATGATAAAGCAAGGTCGCCTGGTAACTGTAATTCATCCTTAACAGTTGGTGCAGGAAGGACAGGAGCCAGTATTCAGAATCCAGGCAAAGCAATTATACCTTATTTCTATGAATAATACTGTTCATAGAAAGCTAGTTCTTAATCTAGTTCTTAAGAGCGTGTGGAACAGGAACCTATTATGATTTAGATATGAGATGTCCCCCAAAAGCTTATGTGTGAGACAATACAAGAAAGTTTAGCGGTGAAACGGTTGGGTTATGACAGTCTTCACCTAATTGGTGCATTAATCCTCCCATAGTGATTAACTGAGTGGTAACTGTAGGCAGGTAGTTTTGGCAGGAGAAGCTCAGACTTGTGGATTGCAAAAGAAGTTAATGTAGTTATAAAGTTCATTGTTTTCATATCTAAATAATACTATATAGATAATATTTTGTTAAATTGTTGTTTAGTTTTATCTATTAAGCACTTTCTTGATAAGTTCTTTCATACACCTCATTTAAATTTGTTCTTGGGCATTTTCACAATTTTGATTTTCATACTTCCTTAAGTGGAGAAAGGTGGCCACTATTTTCTATTAAAAAAATAACTTTTGCTAACCATTAAAATGATAGATATCATAAGGTAGTCTCTTTTCCTGCACCATAAATAGTTCTACTTCTCTTAATCTTTTCATCAACAGTTTTAAATGCTTCATTTACTTTGTGATCTCTTCATGTTCAAATATTTCTTACAATGAGAAAGCCTAAATTTGATATATTTTTATAAAATTCTAATCAATAGATTATAGAGCTGCTCTAGTAGCAGTAAGCATAAATTTAAATTTTGCAATTGATTAAATTATTTTAGATTCTATTTGACTTAAAATAAAACTGACTTACCAAGTATGTTCATCTTGGTTAGGAAGTAGAATATCCAACACCATAAACATGGTTGTAGTTGATTAGACTTCAGAGATGGTGGTGTAGGCTCATAGGGCATTAACCCTATTTCTTTTCCTTTTTTTTCTTTCTTTCTTGCTCCTTCCTTCTGTCCTCTCATCCTTCTTTTGAAAGCTGTATTCAGTTTGTATTTACTCAAAGTAGATTTTCTAATTTTTTTTTTCATTTCTTTTCAGATACTTATAGTTCTTTAATCCTAGGTATGAAGCTTGAGATATACTTTTTAATCTATAGATAACAGCATCTGCCTTTGTAGATTTTTAAGTCGTTATTGAAGATTGATTTTTAAATTTTTATATCCACTTATTCCGTACCTTCACCTTATACATACTTACCTTAATATTCTTCTTCAAATACTGCTAGAGATCCTTCCTATCCCCCAATGGAGCATAATAAGTATCGTTCAAGTCCTTCAAAGAATCTTCGCTTCATTTTTTTTCTTAAAATTTCTCTTACATTTAATGAATATTTTCTGAGTCCACCTTGTGTTGTTCTTTGCCTGCCTTTTTAAAAATTATGCCATCAGCCTTTTTTTCCACTCATAAATTCAATTCCAGATAACTATAAGTTTTCATCAAATATTTTTGAATTGCTCTTTCAGTGGAAATGACTTTGCAGGGCCTACTTGCCCTTCTTGGATTTACCTTTCTTACCTTCTCCCTTCTTACCTTTATCCTTCTTCTTTCCCTCTTTCTTGGACTCTTTCTCCTTCTTGCCGCTGCTTGCTTTATCATCTTCGGTTTCTGTATCTCCTCCTCCTTCCTTGTCTTTGCCCTTCTTGCCAGACTTCTTGTCTTTCTTGCTTTTCTTTCCGCTTCCTTTGTCGTCTTCAGTCTCTGTATCTCCTCCTCCTTCTTCTTTGTCTTTGCCCTTCTTCTTCCCCCCTTTCTTGTCTTTCTTGCCTCCTGCCTTTTCGTCTTCCGTTTCCGTATCTCCTCCTCCTTCCTTGTCTTTGCCCTTCTTCCCCCCTTTCTTGTCTTTCTTTCCGTCTTCTGCTGCCTTTTCCTCTTCAGATTCTGTCTCTGCTATGGGCGGGGCCGCTTCTTCTCCCTCTGCTTCTTCTGACTGTGCGTCTTTGTCTTTGCCCTTTCTACTTTTCTTGTCTTTCTTTCCGCCTTCTTTTTCCTCCTCAGACTCTTCGCCTGACCCCTTGCCCTTCTTCTTACCTTTCTTTCCGCTTCCTTTCTCATCCCCAGACTCTTCACCTGACTCCTTGCCCTTGCCACCTTTCTTACCTTTCTTACCTTTCTTCCGTCCTTTTCCACTTCCAGTTTCTGAACCGGAATCCTTCTCTTTTGAACCCCTTTTACTCTTTTTGCCAGATTTAGATTCTCTTTCTTCATCCTTGCTCTTCGTTGACTCTGCCTTTTCTCTGAAGTCTGATTCCGATTCAGTTTTCTCACCTGAAAGCATCTCCTCACCTTCTTTAGGTGGTTTAGAGGGTTTGGGTGGAGGCCTCCTCCTGGCAGCTAAATAAACAGATGGCCTCTCTGAAATTCTCATTAAAGAACGGTGCATCCATAGTGGCGGTCTTCTTTGCTCCAATTGGGATTCATAGACTACCTGAATTCGTTAGAATAATGATGAACAAATTTTGAGTTATGCAAGCTTTTATTATTAACAGACCACTAAATATAGATTGAATCCAAACATTAAAGAGTTCCAGATTTTGTGATTTAAAAAGTGGATAATTTATATACTTCATAGTATATTCTGATTTTTGAATTTCATCATTTTTAAAACTAATGGATAGTTATGCTTCATTGGGGTCTACTTTCAATCTAGGATCTTCATAATTCCCTCAAGATTTTATATTAAATTGGAAGAGACCTTCATGGACTAATGACATCTTAGAAATTCTCCTCAATATCAGGATAAACTTTATATATATATATATATTTTTTTTTTAAACTGTTCATGAGCATTCTTGGAATGTCTTGCTCACCCTTCATTTCTACATGGACTTATAAACAATTTGACCTCCAGTGTTTAATAGTTTCAAGTTCAGATATATAAGAGTTGGTACATTTACTTTGTGAAACTTTTCTTTAAATATTTTTATAACACATAATCACTCTAGAAACATTAGAAAATATTTATCTCCCAATGCTCAAAATCCTATATTTGGCATTGCAGGAAGTGAGGAAGGACTAGAACTCTATCCAGGCATAATGTAATTCCATGACTAATGGTAAATTTCTTCAGCTGGTTAACAGTTCCCGAATATTTATACTAACCATAAATTAGAGTCTGTAGATTCCTGTGTCTCTTGAACACATCTTATATAATGTATGGCTATTAAACAAAGAGTCAATATGAAATAAGTGATACAGTGAATTTTAAGTAAAAATGTATATTTATACTTTTCCAAATAGTAGAATCTGAAATATTTTTAGATGTGTTATTTGATATGGCATATAACAGTCATGTATAATCTTAATTTACTTCAATTTAAATATAAAAAAAGATAATCCAGTATACTAGCCTTATATCAAGGTGTTCAATAGCCATGTTAAACTGCAAAGATATAAAGTGTTTTCCTCATCACAGAAATCTTGTGGCTCAATTCTGATACATAAAACATATAATAAATCTAAATGATTTCACAAGATTATTACTAGTAGTTAATTACTTACTACTACTAAGTATATGTTCTTTTCCTTACTTACAGGAGTTGTATTATCACGTAGCTGGGAAGGTATTGATCTCCTTTTGGTTCCTGGCCTTGGTGGTTTGGGAAATGCCAGGGAAAAGTGTTGCTGATTCCATGATTTTTTGCTTAATTCACTGACTAAAAGAAGAAAGATAAAACAAACTTTTTAAATGGTTAGATTCCATCAGAACTGAAATCGAAGTAGATGCAATACATATCATGTAAATGAATAAATAAATGATTCCAATTATGGCTTTATTTATTTGGTAATATTTTAAATTATGTGTGATCAGTATGGAAATTAAAATTGATTTTTCTATTTCAACCAGTTTTATAGATAACTATATAAAATAGTCATTGTGAAACTAATACAATCTATAATACAACTTCAAAGAAACATTACTACTATCCTTAATTACTTTAATATCTCTGTAGTCTTGGTTTTGCTTCATGTTTTTTGGGATTAGAATACAATTCTGTTGATAGAAAATGTGTTAACTATTTCTGTTTCCCCCAGAGTCTTTAGTCAATGTCTGGTATAAAGTATTCAATAAACAGATAATCGAACCTTAAGTGTTAAGGTTTAAATCCTTTAAGTTAATCATTTTTTAAGCCACAAGAGTAAAGGCTATAACACACAAGAATCACATTGCTCTTAACGACATGCTTAATGATAAACAATTGACAAAATGCCTACTGAATGGTGACTGGGAGGATGAAGTTTCCCCGAAACTGTAATATAAATGATTAGGGATATTTAAGTAAAAACTGAGGCCAGTGAGAGATATTGTCATTGTATTAAATATATATATATATATATATATATATATATATATATATATATATATATATATATAATCACTACGTATAAAAGAAGATAAACTTCTCCTGTAAGTCTCCTAAAGATGGCACCAGGATCAGTAGGAAAACTGTACTGAAGGGAAGGTGTATTTAAGTTTAGTAAATGAGGGGAAAGCATTTGATAATTAAAGTAATTCAAATTAGATGAATTTGACTTATCTAGAAATGACATTTTGGTCAATTATAAACTGGATATAACCTATCAGGAAGTTAGTAGAAATTGGCTGAGAAGTTGTAAGATTATATAACTGTATAATTTGTAACATGAAAATATGTCCACCTTTATGTTGCTGAAAGTATTTGCTTAATCTTACTTGGATTTAAACAGTAATATACTAAGAAGGGATTCAATGAGCCCAAGAGAAAGAGTCCTTGGGAAATAAGTGTTTATTATTAATTACCTGATATTTTTTGCTTTACCCTTTTGAATAAAAGATAATAATCATTTATTTCTAAAATTAATAATGTGTGTTTTACAATAAATATTGAATTCTTCCTTACCTGGAATATAATTATCATATGTCCCATAGTTTATTTTTTGGCTATTAAAATAAAAGAGAAAAATTTTAGTTAATTTTTATAAAACCACTGCATTTAATGATCATTATTATACATAAATACATGCTACCAGCAACTTGATAAATACTTTTGCATTCTCAGATCTCCATTATTATGTAAAATAAGCTCATCTACAGAATGGTAGATAGGGACAAATGTACAAATTTGTGTTTGGACTTCAACAGAATTAAACCATGGTGATGAACCAACTTGCCACATCTATAATGTATACAAGTAGATATTTTTTGTAAATTGCAGAACTATCCTCAAATTATTTTTCCTACCTCACGCACCAAATTTCCTTCCAATTAAATTTGAACCAAAACATTACTTTATAACCCCTATATTTAAACAAAAACAAAAACAAATCTTCAAATTATTTTCAGAAGTTAACCAACTCCAACTCACTAAGTGATAAATGTGTATGCATATGTATGGGTGGGTGCATGTGTGAATAGAATATGTGCATGTCAATGTATACTGTAGGATTAACATGGAATTTCATTTTTTTTGTTCTCTAGAAAACTGATGAATAAGACTTGTTGTAAACTATTTTCCATTTATAAGTTCTCACTTGTTTTTTTTTTCTTATAAACATCTTTGCTCCCATAGAGTTCTATAATTCAATTTTTACTTATTTCTAATAGAAACCAACAGTGAGATATGTTTATGAAATATTACAGTGTATTATTATAGAGCCACTGCTCATCATGAGCGAGTTTGAGCCTTAAACTCACAGAGAAACAACACATTTTCACAGTGTTTTACGTATTTTAATGGTATATAAAAAATAAGATATTAGTACAAAAAACCCACACAATATCCTAATACCTTCATTAAGTAATGAAGTTTTCAGCCTAAAACCTAGTATATTTTTATTTCTCTAAAAAAGTATGAATTAATTAATTGAATAAAATTTAGCATATGTTTACTTGTCACTTATCTAGGCTGGTGTTTTCTTAACTGAATATATTCACCAAAATTATTTGAGCCATTATGTCTGTCTCTCTAAGCTTGGATCAAGCCAATGTATATTTTATACTCCGTTGAAGAAATTTTGATGTTTAACCATGAATGAGAATTGCTTCATTCCAAATGCTCTGAAAGAGAAAATGCTTCAGGTTCATGAAACAATACACTTGTAAACATGAGATTTTTAAAATGGTAAATAAGCATGATCTATTAAAGTTTTATAAAACCTCTAGAGAATATGCTTTGATTATCAAGCAATTGAATTAGAAATCAATTATAACAGCACCTAGAAAATGCATAAATATTTAAAAGTTAAATAACTTCTGAAGAAATAAAGAACAAACAAAAAACACAATGGAATCTGGAAAACAATGAAATCTGGCAAAAATCACTTTCTGCTGTGGTCAAAAATTTCTATAGTTTTCTTAGAGTTAATTTGGGTATAGTTATAATTCAATAAATTTTGATCATTTGCATTTTTACTTAGGAGATTTTATAGAACCTCAAAATAACAATAAAATGAATAACCCAGGCCCCTGTCATTATGTAAATTTATATTAACATAAGCAATTAAATCAATCAAATTTTTTATGTGAGAAAATATTTTCCTACTGTCTCCCCTAAATGTAGTTCTGCTTGTAGGAGGATCTTTACCTTGCTTCTCCTCGACCTTTGGGCCATTCTTTAAAATTAGATTCATTTGGATTCAATTTTTGACATTTCTTATAAAATTGTCTACTAAAAATAATAAACTATTAGTATGTCTTCTACTATTTTATTATTTTGAAACATTTTTGTGAATGTAAATATATTTTGATCATTTTAAATTGATTTTAAGTTCATGAAACCAAGAAAATTCTAATGACTTATCCTATGAAGAAAAACTATTGAACATTTTGGTGAAATAATTTTTAACGTTTCCAGCTATTCATAAGGAAACTCAGCAATTAATTCCTCACATTAGCTAAGATAAAATGGAATATAGAAGTCACAAATCTGCCTTTACTTCAGGCCTATATATCTAATCAATTAAAATTATTCTCAATATTTGTGAGTTTTTGACATAAAGATATTTTTCACAGAAAAGATAATGTGTTTCTGACTTAGAAAAGGAATTTAAATTTATTTTTTTTCAAAATAAAAGTTGAGGTCCCAATGTAGGAGACAAGACAAGTTTATTTTTTAAGAGAAAAATATATTTCTATATTACTACCAGAAAAATGTTTTAAGGGATATACTTAAACTAACTTTTCTTATTGTTTTCTTTAAGTCTAAAATAATTTTAATTTAAACACAAAATACACCTGCCTTTATTCTTGCCTTTTACTATAACTCTGCCTGTATGTATTTTAAAAGTACATAATAAATTAAAAGCTCAAAGGCTTCAACAATGTGAATTGTCCATAGACTACCTGTTTGTAAGAATGTCTCCAGATATCCTGCCAGCAGGGGAAATAGGGTCATAAAATTGTTGCAGAATGTGTTCTAGGGACTCACTGTGATCTCTCAATCTTCTTGTGTTTGCTTGAGAGGTCACAATATCAATGCCTCACAGTTATTGTCTTGCTGAAGAATGGCTCTTTGGGTGGTAAGATTTTCTTTCTCTAGCATTTTCTGGAATGGTTTTTCAGAATGGATTTATTTTGAACTCCTTACCCAGGGGACATGTTGCAATATCTGAAGATATTTTGTCTATCATAATTGTGTGTGCTGGGGAAATATGATACTGGCATCTAGTGGGTAGAGACCCTGGATGCTGCTAAACATCTTATAATGCACAAGAAACTGCCACCCTCCCTCTCCCAGTCCCACACTCCAAAAGAATTATCTGGCATAAAATGTCACTAGTGCCAAGACCGATAAACCCTTTTCTAGATCAAGGACAATCTTCAGACTAGGACAGTAAGAGAAGCTTTTATTAATGCAACTCAAGGAAGGGAAAATATAAAATATACAGTGGATATGAGACTAAATCTTTGTGAAACTCTCACTTCCTAGATAAAACATAGTCTTATTCAACATTATAAATGGAAGAACTGAGTTGACTTGTCATTGGCCAAGGCAAGAAAAGATAGAACTATCAAGTGGAAGAGCTGAGGTTTGGATAGACCCAAGGTTGGTAAGAAGAATATAAGTGATGAGGAGGAAAATGAACTCAAAGAGGAAAATTTTCTTTATCTGCAAAAATTTGTAGTTATGGGCACAGAAATATTTATTACAGAACTAAAGCTCGGCCGTTCCTAGAATTAAAGGACAAAATAGAAAAGAAATCTTTGTGTGTGCATCGCAAATTCTCTGTGTTAAATGAATTGGGAGTTCTCACATGAATCCAAAGAAATATGTTGAGGAATTGCTAAAAAATTTTGTGTCTGATTTATTGTACTTTATCAGAGCATCTGATTATGAACTTTATCACATTTTCTATAGCACAGTTTTAGGATTTTACTACAATACACCATAAAGAAATTGCCATAAAACCAAAAGTAGAGTTTTAATCATGGTGAAGTCCTCTGAAAGTCATCCAGTGCTCATGATAAAATTAATACAATTGATATTATGTGGAACTTAAATGTTTTTAAGTCATTAAAATATAACATTATTCTGGCATGTAAAATGCCAAAACATAGTTTATTTTAGAATTGTCATCAAATCCCTAGGTCTTGACAGTAATCATGACAATTACATTCAAACCTTCACAAAAGATTTCATTTTAAAAATAATGATTGTGAGCAGGCATGGTCCACTTTTGCATGGTGGCTCCACTTAATTAAAGGTTTAACATTCTAAAGCTCAGTAGCCCTTTTCTGTCACTGTGACATATATGATGCTTATTCCGCAAATTTCCAATTTCCTCCTTAGAGTCATAATTCCCCTAAGAACAATGAATTATTTTTTCAATATTCCTCAAAATACAATATAACAAGAAATCAAGTAAGACCTCCAGTAAAAATAGACTTATCTCAAGATATCTATTTTGCTGAAATGAACTATCTAAACCTTGCATCAAAATAGACTATTATGTTGCTTGAGAATGTATGTCTCTGCTTAAACACAATCTCTATTATTTATGAACATAATAAATAATAATATAGGAAACATTACTTAATACCACAGAGAATAAGTGTTAACCTAGCTAGAAAATTTCAATTATTAGAAAATTCAACAAAAGGACTTACAATCTTGGAACAGACATTTTTCCCACCTATGACTTGCCAGGATTTAAATATTGTACATTCAGGTTGGTGATGTTCAGAGGTGACATCATAAAGAGTCCAAGAGCCCTGGGAGTTAAAGGGGAAAGAGCAAGAGAAGCAATTTCTACTCTTGTTTTATGCTTTCTGGATTTATAACATTAATGTTTACTTTTACTCATTATTTTTAACTAAATTTAAAAATCAATGCTTTTACATCTTAAAATACTTACTTTGATTTTTCATGTAGTTTTAATTTAGTGTATTAAAGAGACAAGTTGAAATCTCTCATTTCTCTTAAGATTCATGTATCTTTCATCAAATCATTTGTATAACTTCAAGTTTCCTTTATCCTTCTTAACCAAATAACTTATTCATAGATACAATGTTTTCAACAAGGCAAACTATTTATTAAAATTGCAAACATAGTGATAGATACGAAATAGTATATATACCAAAATAAAAGTATAATATACAGTGGTATTTGAGTGTGTTACTCTTTTTATCTCTTTGGAGAGTATTTCAACAATCTTCACCCACCTTAATGGAGAGTTTTCTTAGTTAAACTTCAGTTACCATTAAGCATACACTATAAAAATAAGTGGCTTGATTCAATGAAAGTTTCTCATGTATCATACCATATTAAGTTCTACAAGCATTGGTGTGAGGGCCATACATAATTCCTTTTCTTATTTTTTTAAATGTTTTATTGGTTTTTTTTAGTGATACCATAATTCTTATATTTACAATTTGATTGTTTCATCTGCGTTGATTTAGCAGTGTTAGTGCAGACACTCTCCTGAAAAGTGGTCATTTAATAACCAAGTATAATTTCTAACTCTGAACTATTTTGTTTAGAATTTTATGGTTTATACCTGGCTTATGAAGATATTTACACCTAATGCATTTCTTTTATCAGCATGTAGTAAGGTCCAGAACATGAAAGGATATCCAGCAATGCTCGCCAATTCACCATGAACCTCTCAAATTAATCTCTTGTTTTCATTATTAACTGAATGTGTATGTTTTATTAAGATATTAGAGAATCAATGATCATTTTATAATGCACATGGTAGTCTTCTATTGCTACATAACAAATTACCACAAACTTAGTCACATAAAACCACATCCATTTATTGTCTCATAATTCTGCAGGGCAGAAGCTCAGGGTCCTCTGATCACGGTCTCACATGGCTAATATCAAATAATCAGCAGGACTGGGTTCTTATATAAAGGCACTGAGGAAGAATGACTTCCTAAGCACATTCTGTTTGGCAGAATTCTGTTCTTGAGCTTTTATTTGTAACTGCTTTCTTCCTTGATACTAGCTATGGGCTGCTTGTTTTTATGTTTCCGAAGCTGCCCATGCTCCTTTTCACAAGACCCCCCAACATCTTCAAAAAAGTAACATTTCATAGAATCCTTGTAATCCAACCCTTATAATTCAAGTATCTGTTGGTTTTATTTCTCCTCAGTTATGCTCTCAGCTGAGGAAAACCTTTGTCTCCTGAAGGACTCCAATGAATAAATCAGGCACACCTCGATAATTTATCTATTTTAAGGGCAATCAGGCCTCCTAACATATCATGCCATGGGAATGCCATCTCTTCATATTCACAGTTCTACCCATTCTCATGAGGAAGGAGCATTGGGAGTTATTCTTAGAAATTAATCTACCACAAAGTCAAAATTGGATTAAAGACTTCATTTAGTATGTGAGGAATAAAATAAATGCATCAGAATCATAGATATTATTTTTATGTCCCAAGATTTTACCAATATCTATCCAGTTTCAACACTATTATCACACATAAGCAATTTTGGTGTTTGTTTTAAAGGGCCCAGAGCCTAGTAACCACATCCTCAAACATAAATATTTTATTTAAAATGTTTTAACTTTTTTTATATTTCATGAAATAACTTAAGCACATTAATGCATGCAATTCTTAGAGTTATGCAATAAAAATGTTATTGAGGTGATCCTTGATATTCACAAGAGATGTTGCTTGAGACCTTGAGATGTGACCAACTAAAACACATGGCTTATAATTTCCTCTCATGAAAAATACATATGTAAAGCAGAATTATATTCTTCAGGCTTGTGTTAGTTTCAATGACTTAATGGTTCATATATGTATCTCTCTCTCTCTCTCTCTCTCTCTCTCTATATATATATATATATATATATATATATATATATATATATATAATTTCTCTATTTTTTATATTCTATTATATATATATATATAGAGAGAGATCTATATCTATATATATATATAGAGAGAGAGTAATATATATATTATGTATATATTACTCTATTAGCTTTCCATTCATGTATCAGCAAAATATTTTTCTTTGTGCTGAATAACAGATAAAGGCATGTACTAGGGGTATTTAAATGAGGACATACACTTCGAAATGCATTCTAAGATTTTTTTTTAACATAGTGGAATACTTTGTATCATTATTGTTTTAAAATTAATGATGGAACTCCACAAATACATAAAATTTTATTTTTATTATTTTAAAATAGCAGAAAAATTGTAAGTGACCAGCAAAATGCATATCATAAAATTAAAAAGAAACACTTTTGAACAACAGTCTGAGTTATAAATAATTGCTAGTGACTCAGAGCCCCTTTAGTCTAACCATTTTGTTATCCCTTTTGTCCTCCCCACACGTGATCACTATTCTTTATGATAACACTACTTAGGCTTCTGTCAGCAAACATTGCTTGATATTAATCTATGTAGTTGTATATATTTTTATTTCTTTCATCATTCATATGCTATACATATATATGCATAGATATATTATTCTTTGTGGTATTGTATGCATTATATGTGTACATATACTGTGCTTATACTTTCAGTAATCAAGCATTTATTCAGCTTTATTGAAGAATAATAGACAAAAAATAATTATGCATATATGTAGTCTAAAATGTGACATTTTGGAACATGCATAAATTGTGAAATGATTACCACAATCAGCATAATTAATATATCTATCATCTCATATAGTTACATTGTGTGTGATGAGAATATTTGAGATTTATTCTCATATTTCAAGTATATAATGCATTATTATTAATCATATTTACCATGTTGCATGTTAGGTGCCTACAACTTAAAAATATTTTAACTGTAATTTTTACCCTTTGGCAAATATCCTCCTCTTTCCCAGAACCCCAGAACCTCCCAACCTTGGTAGCCCTACTTCTCCATTTCTATGAGTTTTACTTTTTTATATTCCACGTAAATGAAATCATGAAATATTTGTTTTTCTGTATTGGTTAGGTTGTAAATCTAACCTTATTGTAACAAAAGACAGGATTTTCTTTTAAGCTGAACAGTTATTCATTGTGTGTGTGTGTGTGTGTGTGTGTGTTTTCTTTGTGCATTCATCTCTCTATGAATACTTAGGTTACTTAATAGCTTGATTACTATGATAATATAGCTTGATTACTAATGTTGCAATAAATATGTTGTGCAAATATCTCTTTGAGAAACTGAGTTTTTTTAATCTTTAGTCTATATACCCAGAAGTGGGATTGATAAATCATATAGTAACTGTATTTTTAGTTTTTTGAAGAATATCTATAATGTTTTCTGAAATAGCTGTACCAATTTCCCTTCATCCCACAGTGTATAGGGTTCCATTTTTTCCCACATCCTATTTAACATCTGTTATCTTTTGGCTTTTTGATAATAGCAACCTTAACAGATGTGATGTAGTATCCCTTTGTGCTTTTGATTTGCATTTCTCTGATGATAACTAATGTTGAGTACCTGTTTATATATATGTTGGCCACTTACTTGCCCTCTTTGGAAAAATTTCTAGTCTGATCCTTATCCCAATTTTATATATCTCATTTATTTTTCTACTGGGTTATTTAAATTCCGTATATATTTTGGATATTAACCTATTACCAAATATATGACTTGCAAATATCCCTGTTCTCTAGGTTTCCTTGTGATTTAGTGGGTTTTATCCTTTGTTGTACAGAAACATTTTAGTTTGATGAAGTCACTCTTGATTTTTATTTTTGTTACCTGTGTTTTAGGGATCAAATAAAAAAAAAAAAACATTGCTAATACCAAAGTCAAGCAGATTTTGTCTCATGCTTTTTTTAGGTGTTTTACAATTTCAGTTTTTATATTTAAGTCCTTATAAATTGAGTATTGTATGTAGTATAACATAAGGTTAAAATTGTATTAGTTAGCATGTGAATATCCAGTTTTCCCTACACCTTTTATTGAAGAGAATTCCTTCTTTCCAATGAGTGTTCTTGTTCCTTTTGCTGAAAATTAATTCATTATATATGCTTGTTTTATTTTGGGACTCTCTTATCTCTTCTGTGTGTCTTTTTATGCTAGTAGAATAACTTATTTTAGTCAATTTTTTAACTGCTGTGACCAAAAACTTGACAAGAGCAATTAGAGGTGGAAAAATTTATTTGGGGGCTAACAGTTTCAGAGATCTTTAGTCCATATATAGCTGACTCCATTCTTTGGGGCCGAGGTGAAGCACCATGGTGGGAGAGCGTGGCAGAGGAAAGTGCTTCAGAACATGGCACCAGGAAACAGAGAGGGAATTCTTCTTTCCCCAGAAACAAAATATAAACCTCAAAGGCTACAACTGCAATGAACCACTTCCAGCCACATCCTACCTACCTATGTTACCACCTCGTTAATCCCTATCAGCAGATTAATGCACTGTTTAGGTTAAACTTCTCATAACCCAACCATTTCACCTCCAAACTTTCCTGTGTTATGTTACACAAGACTTTTGAGGGCATAAGTAATATCCAAACCATAACAATATCATTATGATTAGTATAACTTAGTAATATTATTCAAACTCAGAAGTGGGATGCCTCCAGTTTTGTTCATCTTTCTCAAGATTGCTTTATATATTTGGGATATTTTGTAGTTTTGTAGTAACTTTATTTTTTTTTCTATTTTTTGAAAATGTCACGGCAATTTTGATTGTGACTTCA